TCAGTTATCTTTTAATTGCCAAATCTAGTGGCCTTTATTCAGTCCTTTTCCTTCTTGACTTCTACTGCATTTGGCACTGCTGATCACTTTCTTCCCCTAGATCCTCTCCTTTCTGGGATTTGTGACATTTTTCTCCTGATTTTCCTCCTTTCTACAAATCCTTCACTGGATCTTCATCTGTGTTACGTTCCTCAACTGAGTATTCCCTGTGGCTTTGTCCTGGGTTTGCTTTTCTTTTCCCTCTATCATATTTTTTTTTCTGTTCCCCCTTCCCCATCTCACTTCATGATATCTAGATGCAAATGATTCCCAGATCTCTATATCTTGCCATAGTTTCTCTTCTGAGTTCTAGTCCCACATCACCAGTTGCCTTTTGGACTAGTTAATTTATGTGCTCTTAGCATCTGAAGCTCCTTTCCAACACAACGAATTACATTTTCCATCAACCTCTCCCCTCATTGCTGCACCATTATCCAGGCTTGCAACCCCAGGACCATCCTTGATTCCTCTCCCTCCACATATCCAATCAATTGCCAAATCTTGTTTTTTTCCTTTATAACATTTCATTTTTTCCAGACACACAGCTCCTACCCTAGTTCAGGAACTTATCTCTCTTCTGGAATATTGTAATGTAGTCTTCCTTTTGTGGTTCCTGTCTCAAACTCTCCTTCAGCTGCCAAAATGATTTTCCTCAAGCAAAGGTTTGACCATGTCAGTAAACTCCAGGGCTCCTCCAGACCCATAATTACATACTACATAGAGATCACAACCCATTCACATTTTTTTCATTCTGTGTACCTCTTGTGTTTGTCCTCCCTTCAGCCCCCCACAGGGTCTCCAACATGCTGGGGGCCCTAGATCTTTTGACATTTCATCATTCTAGGAGAGTCTGTCCAGACTGTCTATCACTCTCACTATGAATAGCCTACCTCCTTTTCTGGTCATACAACTCTCTGAGTTGTTAGACTTGTGGGTTGCTTAAAGGTCAAAGGAAAGGCCATAGGAGGCATGAAAAGGCTTTAATCTATTGAGAACTGTGCAGAAGCATTATAAAGATACTATATAAATATGAACATAGGTGAGCTGACATGACCTATAGTTCAGGAAAGAAACTTGAGTGGGAAATGAATATATATTTTCAAGATTGTCAGGAAAGGACCTTAGAGATCATCTAGTCTAACTGCCTAATTATAAAAACAATAATAAAAGCTAACAGTTATATAGCATTTTGTGAAGTGTTGCACATTTTGTCTCCTTTAGTCCTTACAACATTATGATATAGGTGCTCTTATTGCCACTTTACAGATGAGGAAATTGTGGCTGAAAGAGATTAAGTAATTTGTTCAAAGACACACAGCTGTTATGTGAGGTGAGATTTGAACTTAGGTGTTCCCTGGCTAGATCCATATTCACTCTTCTATCCTCTCTATCCACCTGTAACACCTGCCTTTTGTTTTATAGATGAAGAAATGAAGCCTAGAAAATATTCTTTAAAAAATTACTAACCTGGGGCAGAGCCAAGATGGCACAGAAAAAGCAGTGACTTGCTTGAGCTCTCCCCCAAACCCCTCCAAATACCTGTAAAAATGACTAAACAAATTTTAGAGTAGCAGAACCACAAAAAGACAGAGTGAAACAAATATTCAGCCCAAGACAACCTGGATGGTTGATCGGAAAGGTCTATTGCTCCTCGCTGGGAGAGCCGCACAGTTCAGCATTGGCCAGGCAGGCAAACACCAGGCCTCAGCAAACCTGGAGCAACCCTCAGGGGACTGAATCATGGGCAGCTGTGGCAGTTTCCTGATTTCTCAATGCACAAACACCAAAGACAACTCAGTAGAAAAGGTTTGTTGGACCACCGTGAGAGAGGAGTTTGGGCAGGCCGCAGTCCGAGCATAGTCCCAGGGCGGCAGCTGCTTCTGGAGGTCTCCCACAAAAGGAGGGAGAATCAAGTGGCTAATCAGAAGGGGATTGCAGGGATCTCTTTGCTGGTGCTGAGGCAGGATTCTCTTGCTTTGCCTGTGGTTGGATCTGGGTCGCAGTTCTGAGTGGCGGTCCAAGGGCAAGGAGGTGCATTAGTGTTGTGGAGCTTGTGGCACTGGTGGAAAGGGAATCCTCCTCACAGTTCCAAGGCAGAAAAGAGTGCTTGTGGTCACTCACAGACTAGAACACAGGCCAGGAGAGGAGTAAACACCTCTCTTTAGATTGTGCCACTTTGAAAGAACTGAAAATTTACAGGTCCCTAGAAGTATCTCTGCAAACTGCTGCACAAAACCCCTGAATCTTGGGACAGTACATTCTCCACACTGAAAGCAGACCTTTACCTTAACAAAGAGTTTAAAACTCAAGTAATTGGCTGGGATCATGAGCAAACAGCAGAAAAAAACTCAGACTATGAATCTTACTTTGATGACAAAGCAGATCAAAACATACAACCAGAAGAAGACAACAAAGTCAAAGCGTCAAAGCTCCTACATCCAAAGCCTCCAAGAAAAATATGAATCGATCTCAGGCCGTGGAAGAGCTCAAAAAGGATTTTGAGAAGCAAGTAAGAGAAATAGAGGAAAATTAGGGAAAAAAATGAGATTGATGCAAAAAAATCATGAAAAACTAGTCAACAGCTTGCTAAAGGAGACCCCCCCAAAAATACTGAAGAAAATAACACCTTAAAAAATAGCCTAACTCAAATGGCAAAAGAGGTCCACAAAGTCAATGAGGAGAAGAATACCTTAAAATTCAGAATTGGCCAAATGGAAAAGGAAATCCAAAAGCTCACTGTAGAAAATAACTCTTTAAAAATCAGAATGGAGCAAATGGAAGCCAATGACTATGAAATGAAGAAGTTATAAAACAAAACCAAAAGAATGAAAAAAACAGAAGACAATGTAAAATATCTCACTGGAAAAACAACTGACCTGGAAAATAGACCCAGGAGAGATAATTTAAAAATTATTGGACTACCTGAAAGCTATGATCAAAAAAAAAAGAGCCTATGCATCATCTTTCAAGAAATTATCAAGGAAAACTGCCCTGATATTGTAAAACCAGAGAGTAAAAGAGAAATGGAAAGAATCCACCAATCACCTCCTGAAAGAGATCCCCAAAGGAAAACTCTTAGGAATATTATAGCCAAATTTCAGAGTTCCCAGGTCAAGAAGAAGATACTGCAAGCAAGAAACAATTCAAATATTGTGGAAACACAATTAAGATAACACAAGATTTAGTGGATTCTACATTAAGGGATCAGAAAGCTTGGAATATGATATGCCATATGTCAAAGGAGCCAGGATAAAAACCAAGAATCACCTACCCAGCAAAACTGAGTAAATCCTATAGGGAAAAAACATGGAAATTCAATGAAATAGAGGACTTTCAAGCATTCTTGATGAAAAGACTAGAACTGGATAGAAAATTTGACTTCCAAATACAAGATTCAAGAGAAGCATGAAAAGGTAAACAGGAAAGAGAAATCATAAGGGACTTATTAAAGTTGAACTCTTTACATTCCTACATGGAAAGATGAAATTTGTAAATCACGAGACTTTTGTCAGTATTAGTATAGTTGGAGGGAATATATATATATATATACATATATACATATATACACACACACACACCATATATATATGGACAGATCATACACATACACACACACACACACACACTTACACACATACATTTTTTGTTAATTTCCAAAGCAGGGAGAAAAAAGAAACCATGAACTCAGCTCCCTCTAGACAATCAATCACTTATGTTGTTGTTGTGTTTCTTTGGAAGGGAGCAAAAGAGGGGAAAGATTGTGACTGACATTGCAATGGAAAACTTCACCATAGTCATTTTTTGTCTTCCTATTATTCTCTCATGGCACATTGAAAGAATAGCAAATCCTCCAGATTTGATACTAGTAACAGGTGGAACACCTAGCTGTATCCATGGAAAAATCTGATGGTTACAATTGTTTTCAGATCCTTGCCCTTGAAAGGCAATGAGACTTATAGAGGTCTATGAAAAGGACAATTAACAAGCTCTGAGGGAGAACCCTTCACATGGATGAAAAAGAAGACATTTCAAGTAGTATTCCAGGTCAAGCTTGAGTTCTGAAAGTAACCAAATTCTAGGGCTAGGACAGTCAAAAATGTTTTTAGAACAATGGTCTAAAGGTGGAGGTAAACATAGACTAAGTAGGTAAGTGAAACACACAACAAAGGAGGAATAGGTAGTGTCAAACTGAGGCTTCATCTTAAAGAATTTCTCTACCTGAGACATTCTCATGGTATTGGGATGCTCCCCCCACCCCTAATCTTCAGTATACTGTGGAGCATGGGATGTTACTATTTTATTTACATTTATGGGATGCTTGTTATATAGCTCCAGCATCAGAGTCGCCTCCTTTCTTTCTAGCAGGCTTTCCTATCACCAGTTTCTGTGACTGTATTATTAACTTTCCTCTGCCTCCTCAGGATTTTTTTCTTTTTGTATTCCATCTTGGATTATTTTCTGTGCTGTCTATGCAGCTTTCTTTAATAAGCCAAAATGTAGGTAGAGGTGTTCCCTCTCTCTCTCGAGCTTCTTTCTTAGTGAAGGGATCAGTCTGTATTTATAGCACGTGTAATTGATGAGTGCCAATATCAAGATAAATTTAGCAAATACTCTGTACAGGAGAACCTGTTCCTTTGACTATACCGCCTTGGTACCAAAGTGAGCCAGTTTCCCATGCCTTTTGGTCATGTATGGGTTCCTTGAAACCCTGCCTTTAGTCCAATTTAGTTGCATCCTCTCCTTCCTCCCTAGTCTCTGATGATTCACTAAGATGTTGGCAATCAGCAGCAGGCACTCATAGGTGTTAGCACAGTGTTCACCAGCAAATACAAAATTGAAGAAAAAATCTGAAAGTAAGCTTCTCATCTTAAAAAAAAAATTCCAATTGGTTTAACAGTTGGATACGAATAATCAACAAACCTGCCTATCTTATTTAATATTTTATTAAATAAAAAACACAGTACAACCTTCAAAGATAGATAACTAAAGTATTACAATCCATTTAGTGGTTTCTAGAGTACCTGCAATGAAGTAACAATTTGGGGGGGCAGTGCTACAAATACAAAGAAATAAAGTTTTAATAAAGAACCATACAAATATATTTACATATATATAAATATAGTACATATTAAAACTTACAACACAACACATTTTCTAATACATTAGATTTTTTTCACATTTATATATTTAATGGAAAGCCATTACATATTATGTAAACATAGTTAATTTCATAAATGAACATTACTTTTTCCTTTAAAGCATGTAATTTTTCTGGATCCTGATTTAACCTTGGCATTCTTGAGGAATCATTAGTATATAGATTAGTAGTCCTTCAAGATCTAGATTCAAGTTTAGCCGTAGCTGGGGGGAAAAGGAAGAAGAAAAAAACAATTTACATTATGTATGCATATATAGATATTATACACACATATGTGTGTAATTTTTGAATTTCTCTTGAGACTCATGATTATGAGTTAAGGAATTCAGAGTTTAAGAATCATGAAAATGGTTATTGGTTCAATTTAGTCTTAGAGTTTCCTCTGTACTTTGAAGGTAAGTGACTTGACCATGGTCTCATGGGCAGTCTGTATCATAGGCAGGACTTGAATTGAAGTTTTCCTGGAAGTAACCTACCATAGAGGGTTGTTTTGAAGCTCAAATCAGATATTGTAGGCGAAGTGTTTTGCAAAGTTTAAAGTGCTATATAAAGGTCAGTCACTATTATTACACTTAAAAAGTATGTTGATTTTGGAGCAACTCATCAAATTGTTCACATAATATTTTTTTTTCATCTTCTGCAGTAGATGTCAGTATATAAGCTGCAATTATAATTACGTTCATGGTGGTCTGTTTGCTTATGCTCATGTTGAGCACTATTTCCTATTTAATTATGTTTAGTATTGCCTTTGTGCTCACAGTGAAACCAACCATGCCAATTATTTTATTTGCCTATTTGAGGAAAATGTGAACCATATTTCCATTTAGCTGCAACTTCTTTCTATGTTCTGGTTAAATTGATAGCAAGGGTGACAATATGAATACTATTTAGTTCTTTCAGTCCTGTTGGTCACTCTAGACAAAGACTGCAAATTAAGATTCTAATAGTTAAATTGATATTTGTAGATGATTTTTGAATTGTGGAATTCTTAGTATCTTTTGCCCCCTTTCCCATCACTCTCCTGAAATCACTGTGGAATCACAGAATTAAACAGAATAATAGAATCTCAGACTTGGATATGACTTCAATGGCTCTCTAGTCCAAACAATCTTCTTGAACAGCAATCTTCTTGATTGCATCCCCCCAAAGTGGTTGACTGCCTTCATATCTAAAGATCAGAAGGAGCTACACAGGACTGAGGACCAATTATCCTTCTATTTCATGGGATGCTGTGGCCAAAGATTTCATCACCTACTTTCGAGCCTTCTGGATCTAAGCCTCTTTCTAAATGGCCATGTGTCTTCTGGAAACAGACAGTCTACCTCTTGTGCTCGTGCTATCCTTCTAGCTTATTAGAAAGAACCTGCTAGATCTCGCACTTCACTGGCACAGAACAACCCATCATTACTTCAAAGTGAGGAAAAAAAGGGACGTGGCCCTAAAACCATGCCTTTGTGGGAGTTTTTCAGCATATTTAAAAATCAGGTATAGCATAATTACATTTTATTTATGAACAATTTGGGACATACCTTCATCAAGTTCCCTAGCTATACTTTCTTCCAACTCCTGCTGCATCTGAAATAACATTAAAATACAGTAAAGTAAATGAGGAAGAAGGAACTTGAGATAGCATAAAGAACTCAAAAAATCTTTTAAAAAATTGCAGACATCCAAAGAAATTATTAATAAACTTAGATATTAGTTTAGTTTGACTTTAGTCATTCAACAGAAAATCTATTGGTCTAATAAAATAATGCTACTACGAACAGAATCAAGAGCTTCTCACAATTATGTCAGCATAGTAGTCATGTTTCAGGCTTTGAATAGTTTTCTTCTCTAAGCAAGTCTTACCCTTTTATTTCCATTTTTATGAAAATAACATTTTCTTTAAAAATAAAATCAATTTTATATCACATACTTTAAAACAATTAATTTCAAATATTAATACATTACTTCATTTAGCTTCAGTCAGTCTAAACACAAAATGAACATTAACATACAATGAGCAAAACAGAAAAGAAAATGCCTGGATGTGATTAAATACAATAAAAAAATTCCAAGGACGAGTAGAGAGTACTAAACAAAAACAGCTCCTCCATTTTCTGTTCCAATTGAAATATTTCTTAATCCAGAGAGAAACTGATTTCATTTGATTTTCTAAATTAATACGTTGTGGTTATGAAGGTCTTAGTAACAAAGCTAACAGAAATTCTGCTTCCAATTTCAATTCTTATAACAGCATCATAGAAGTAGGAAGAGAAGATGAAATGGGAGCGCACTCTTGATAATGATCAAAGTTGTACAGTTTCCATTTCAGAAGACAGATGAAATAGTTAAGATACTATAGATAAGAGGTAAATGTTGCAACATATATATAAAGCATGTGGGGAAAACCATCACCAAAACACAGAGTGTCCTTATCTATAATGTTTGTATTTAGATTTACATTCAGGTAAAGATATTTCTCACCAAATTTGTAATAGTAAATGCACAAAAGAGAACCTGGCAAAGACCTGCATGAATGACTGTTATTGTTCATGATGGCAGTACTGGAAACTTCTTTTGTCCTATCAGTAAATTTGGAAGAGAGGAGGAGAGTTTGGATCTATTCCCCAGATTCTGAGTTAGATCTTTCTTAAACCTTTCTTTGATAGCATCATTACTAGAAGAGGTCTTAAGTAATGAAAAACTTGACATTGGACAAAACCTTTAAAAGATTTTATGTGATATGTTAATAAATATATTTCAGGAACATAAAAGAAAATTTATATATTTTTTGGGGAGGACAAATGTTCAATATCATTTACAAAAAGCTCTTTTCATATGTTTAGTATATATGTAAAAATATCTCTGTGCCTCTCTATGAAATATATAGACATACATGTATATGATATGACTAGGGTGTGATTAGGAGTACAGTTAACTTCACATGGTTGAAAGATAAGGATTTTATTATGGATTTGAAGATATCTCTAATATATATGGAGTGATTTTCCCACTGAAGCTGTTTAGTATTTTGGTCATATCTTCTTTGTAGGGCATGGAATTTGGTTTAGGTGTGCCCACTGACACCATACTGAGGAAGCCCAATGTCTCTGTTCCCTTTTAATGGTCAAATTCAGGGGCATGGCTCAGATTCACACCATCCAGGTCTCAACCAATTATCAATGTGGAATCAATAGGCCACTAAGTAGCCAGGAAAAAGACATTTCTTACTTTCCAGATATGAGCAATATTGGAAATAAGGTATTGGGCATATTTGTATAATTCATATTCAAATAAGGTCAGTAGGCATATTCATAATCTTCTTGGGGGCATGGCTTCAAAGTCAGAACAAGGAACTAACTATAATTCTGTCAGGTGAATAAAGTTCTTTCTTCTGGTGATCTCTTTTTCTCTCTCCATCTCCTTCTTTGTCCTCACACATTTGTCACTGATTACTTCTTCTCCACCAAGATCATGATTTCAGTTTTAGTCTTGAAAAGTTATCATATTGACATCCTGACTATTCTTAATCTATTATTATATTTATCAATAATGCTGGAAATATGCAAGGATAGAATAGATCATAACCCATGTGTTATATTTCGAGAAGGTTTCCTATTTCTGGAAAGGTTTCCTATTTTCAAATAGCTTCCCTACTGGACGTTCCCAGATGTCTGAAATTTTGTTTCACATTCATTCCTCTGGGTTATGGTAAACTTATATAACTCTGGAAGGGAAGAACATATTAAATCAGCAGAAGTCTTGAACACTTTAGCATGAATTAGACTATTAAATACTTTACAATATGAAAGGGCTGACAACATCTCTCTTTTGGGCATAGATGATACACAACAGGTAATTCTAACAAGAGAAGCAATGTGGTGTGGTGGAAAGAACAATGGACTTGGAGTCAGGAGAGTCCTGGTTTAAACTGTGAAGCTGACATTTCCTTCTCAAGTAGTTTTGGCTCTGTTCACAGCCTCTGTGTATCTCTAGCTATATCTGATCTATATCTCTATCTGTTCTTGTTAAAATTCCAGACAGTAGTCATGAGCAAGTCACTTAGTCCCTCTCACCCTCAGTGTCCTCATCTGTAAAAAGGTATAATAACAGCACTTTATAGGGTGGATGTGAGGATCAAGTGAAATGATATAAGTAAAGCATTTTGTAAACATTAAATTGCTATATAATCATGAGCTAAAATAATAGCACTATTGTTGTTGTTATTAGAATAAAGATAAAGGTCCAGGGCAGGTGTGTGTAGGATATCTAATAGTGCAGCTATCAGGGGCTAGCACAAGAAAATGGCCCCTGAGTATTCAGGGAAATGGGAGCCTGCAAGAAAGGGGAAAGTAGAACAAAGGGAGATAATGAAATACCAATTATAAACCAATTTGGCATAGGGCTAGCCCTATCTATTAGAGGAAGTTAGAACACAGTCTTCGTTTGAAATTCACTAACTTTTTGATCTGATTCTGACTTGTTCCATTAACTCAAAATCTGTTGTTAGGAAAGCTGTTGTTATTATTCTTTTTCTTAGCACAAACTCTAAAGAGTATAGGACTTTGGTTGTTTATGATTAAATATTTAATAAAAACTAAATTGCTAAAAAAGATGGTTATCATTGACAAATTTTCTGGAAACTACTATCTTAAGGTTTGATAAGACCTTAGTTCTATGAATGAAATAAGAAAATGGGAAAATGGGCTCCATCAATGACTCTTTTCTAATATTTTTAGGACCATTACAGGCATATTTGACAATTCATATAATCAACAGGGTTTTTTTGAAGATTTGTTTCAAACTGTAAAACATTCTTAGCTCTTACAGAGATCTACAAAATAATTATAAAAATACATGTGAAATGATTATTTCTTTTAAAGGCATTTTATACCTACATTGTAAAAGAATGCAGTAACAAATTTATCCAGCATCAGCATATGGTAACAGAGCCAGAAGGAAACTTTAAATATCAGCTAGTCCTACTCTCTCATTTTACAGATGAGAAAACTGAGACCAAGGTAAATTAATCAATCAACAAGAATTTATAAGTACCTCCTGTGTGCCAGGTACTATGCTAGGGGCTAAGAGTGTAAATAAAAAACAAAATAAAACAAAAAACAAACAAACAAAAAACAAACAAACCACTAACAAGCCTGAAATGATCCTTACTCACACAGTGTCTAGTACTTAGTAAGCTGAGCACTTAATAAATGTTTGCTGTCCAACAAGTTTACATTGTAATGGGAAAACAATAAATACATACTTAGTAATACATAACATAAAGAGAATAAATACAAAGTACAGTTGTTCCTTCCACATTGCAAGGGGTAGGAATGTGACACCCTTGCAATTTGGAAAATCTATATCAAATTTTTTGGCCCTCAGGGGCGGAGCCAAGATGGCAGAGTGAAAGCAGTGACTTGCTTGAGCTCTCCCCCAAACCCCTCCAAATACCTGTAAAAAAATGGCTCTAAACAAATTCTAAAGCAGCAGAACACACAAAAAGACAGAGCAAAACAAATTTCTAGCCCAAGACAACCTGGATGGTTGATCAGAAAGGTATATCGCGCCGGGCAGGGAGAGGAATGCAGTTTGGTGTAAGCGCGCAGGCCGCAGCGAACTTGGAGCAGGCCTCAGAGGACTGAATCACGGGTAGCTCTGGCAGTTTCCAGACTTCTCAATGAAAACCAAAGACAACTTCGAAGATCAGTGGGAAAAGTCTGTGACTGTGGTGAGACAGAAGCTAGGTCTCAGTCGCAAGTCCCAAGTGGGGCCCCGGGGTAGCGGCTGCCTCCTGAGCTTCCAGCCCACAGACTGAGGGGGAAATCGAATTGCTGATCAGAGGGGAATTGCAGGGATCTCTTTGCCAGTGCTGAGGCAGGAATCTCTTTGCCCATGCTTGGATCTGGATCACAGTTCTGAGGGGCGGTGCTGGAGCGAGGAGGAGTGCTGGTGTGGTGGAGCTTGTTGTGGCGGTGGAGAAGAAACACCTCGCCCCTTATCATAGCACCTTGGAAGAACTGAAAATTTACAAGTCCCTAGAAGTATCTCTGAAAACAGCTGCACAAACCCCTGAAGCTTGGGACAGTACATTCTCCACACTGGAAGCAGACTCTTACCTTAACAAAGAGTTTAAAACCCAAGTAATTGGCCGGGATCACGAGTAAGTAGTGCAAAAAAGAGTCAGACTATATTATCTTACTTTCGTGACAAAGAAGATCAAAACATACAACCAGAAGAAGACAACGAAGTCAAAGCTCCTACATCCAAAGCCTCCAAGAAAAATAGGAATCAGTCCCAGGCCTTGCAAGAGCTCAAAAGGGATTTTGAGAAGTAAGTAAGAGAAGTAGAGGAAAAACTGGGAAGAGAAATGAGAGTGATGCAAGAAAATCATGAAAAACAAGTCAACAGCTTGCTAAAGGAGACCCAAAAAAACACTGAAGAAAATAACACCTTAAAAAGTAGCCTAACCCAAATGGCAAAAGAGGTTCAAAAAGCCAATGAGGAGAAGAATGCCCTAAAAAGCAAAATTGGCCAAATGGAAAAGGAAGTCCAAAAGATTACTGGAGATTAATTAAAGATTACTT